GTGCATTTGTGATTATATTAAATTTTTTTCTATAATTTTTCTCAAGTCTTTATTTTCATGTGTTGCTTTTACATTTCTCTGTCTCCTGTATTTACATTTATGCCTTTCTGCCTCAATTTGCAAATAAGGTGGGCGTGCCTTCCTGTGTCAGCTTCTCTACTATTGGTCAACAAACAGGAAAGAGCAGGATCCATGTGCAGATCTACTGTGCATGCTTCTGCTGCCTCAGTTTAACTTAAAGTTTAAGGTTTAGTTAAAAACAAAGGCACAGGCTAGTGTTTTCCTCCTTGCCTTAGTTTTTAACTGAACCTTATACTTTAAGCTAAACTGGGGCATATGAACAACTAATTTTCCTCCAATAATAACTTTATTTATAAAGTGCATTCAGACAAAGTGATGAACAATTACAAAAAGATAAAATCAAAGTAAAAAAGTTGTAAGAGCAAGTAAAATATCAAATGCAAAATTTAAGACACATAAGACAAAGTGTACAGGTGTTAGCTTAGCTTCAAAAACTTCCACAGAGCAGGCCAGCCTGATGTCTTAAGCGAGATCATTCCACAATAAGGGGGCACAAAAGATAAAAGCACGACCTCCGACAATTTTTCGTCTGACTTTAGGGATTACCAACAGACCAGTGCCCTGAGATTGGAGAGCACGAGGTGAAATATAAGGGTAGAGAAGGTCTGAAAGGTAGGGAGGCACTAGACCGTTCAAGGCCTTGTAGGTGAGTAGCAACACTTTGAAATCTACACGAACATGGCAGGGAAACCAGTGGAGAGATGACAGCACCGGAGTGATATGGTCATATTTCCCTGTTTTGGTTAGGATATGAGCAGCCGCATTCTGAACCACTCTAATTTTTGCAAAATTCCCGAGATGATAAAAAGCAATCTTTGTTACTTTTTTTTAGATGAGACTTGAAAGAGAGCGTAAGGTCAAACAGCTCACCCAAGTCGGAGCTGGAAGTATATAGATGTTGGAGTAAGCTGTGGCCAGTGAAAGGCGAGGATGACCAACAAATTTGGCTGATTGGAATTTCACCATGAGAGTCCTAGTGGGACATTAAGGTGACAAGTAAATCTACAGAAGTCAGCCTGTTCCAAAATGAGTTGTGTTTTTTTTGATTTGGTACCCTTATGTGGCCTTCAAGGCCGGATATCTTAACTCTTCTGGAAGTACAGTATGTAAGCAAATGCTCTTTCCCCCACCTCCGTCCTCCCACACATCTATGAAATGGTGTCCAAGGGTAACCAAGGCCGAACTGATGAACTCAACATCCCTTCAGAAACTATGGTGGGTGGGGCTTGGAGGCTTGTTTCACAGTCTTACTCAAAAGATGCACACACGCATAAACAACACTACACGGCTTCAGATACCCCGCCTCAAATCACAGTCTTTGCTGGCTTAAATATGCACTATGCAGATAGTTTTATTTTTTTCAACCCATATTGTCCCTTGTTAGGGACAACGTTTGAGATGTTTTTTTTATCCTTACCCTATCATCCTCATGTTGGCTTTTCTTTTTTCTTTTATTCTAAGGGTAGCACCTCGTTATGACTGCAGGTCCCGGGCACCTGTTGTCCCATGTTTGTTGTTTGTACTGTCTCTCTCTTGGATGGGTTGTTCTGAACTATTTTCATTGTGCTTAACAGTACATTGACAAATAAAGTAATCTGAATCTGAATCGAAAGCTCTTTACAACACAGTCTGGACTCTCATTTACCCATTCACCCACATTTACTCAGCACTAAAATGAGTGAGAAATAAACTATGGACTTTGATTTTTGGAGGAAAATTAGTTGTTTATAATAATTGATTTCCTGGTTGGATAGAAAGGCGCTATGAAACTACGTATAGTCCCATTTACCATAATATACATAATTAAAAGCGTTCAAAATGGTACAATAACACACAAGTGGTGTTTTAAGATGTGTTCCTCTGTTGAGATGTTTCTTGAGCTATCAGAAACTGTTTCCTGCCACAACAGATATAAAATAGATTTCTGAATCTTTTCTTTAAACTTTTTACCTAAAATATTGTTGAAAACTACAGAGGTTAGGAGAAAAACAATGAAACTGCAGAGGAATCAGATCAATGAGGTAACACAACTTGACACAACTATCACAAACAGCATTAATTAGTCAAACGTGAGGCCGGATTCTTGTGTAAATGTTTTCTGAAAGGTTTATTCAGTGGAAAATGTAGCAGACATACATTCTGTTTAACTTCACACAGAGCTTTCAGCAACCTAAAAAACCTCATGGGGGCTTTTAGGATCAAACAATGGGCCTCATGCAAGAACCGTTCGTACGCACAAATTTGTTCTTAAATTGTGCGTACGAGTGATTTAGGAGAATTTGTGGCATTCAGCAATGTTTTCGTATTCTACGATTTTTTTCAGATACGAACAAAATTTACGAGTGGTCCAGACCTGTCGTATATTTTACGTGAAGTCAGTCTGCTGTTATCCAGACGGGTTTTCTTCACTAATAACTTTATATTTTGTTAGTTTGAAATTTTGAGTTGAAAATAAATCTCACTCCATAATTATGTTGACAACAGGCTACTCTGCTTGAATTAGAGTTATAATTTTAAATGTAATAATTTAGAC